ACCTGGGCCAAGGGGGAAGGGAAGGATGATTCAGTGGGATCCTGCCTTGTAGAGGAGACAACAGGGATGCAGCGATGACTCCCGACGAGGTGGGGAGGAAGGGACACGTATCTAAATTTCCCCACCCTGAAATTCAAAACCCTCGGTCTGGTTGAGGACACTGGCTGGAGAATAAAAGATGCTGATTATTGTGGAGATTTACCAAGCAGGATCAACCCACCGTGCCACTCTAAGGACAGGACAGAGGGGAGTTTAAGAACGAGGCATGACAGGACTATGATGGGACCAGGAGTTATGTTGAAGAGCAGCAGAGAAGTCTGGGAGGCAGGGAAGGAAGGCAAGGAAGGCAGGGAAGGAAGGCAAGGAAGGCAGGCAGGTCTGTCCTAGCCCTTCTGCACTACAGCCAGCTGCGGGAGCAATGAACTAATGGGAAACCCACAGCTCTTGCCTGTTCTCCACCTGCATGGTCCAACTGCACTCCCTGTGAAACACCAGCGGTTTAGGGCAGGAGCAAGGTCAATCTATCAGCACATCCTCACCAAGGCAGTTTCTGTCTGTGTCTGTCTGGGAAGATTTCTTAGGAACAACTTAATGGCAAAGATCTCAATGCTTCATCTTATTTAAAAAACGTGTTTTCTTGCCTGTTTAGTGAACCAGCTCCCAAGCAATGTAAAATTAAAAAAAAAAAAGAAAAAAGAAAAAAAAAAAGCCATGACTGCTAAGATCTTGCAGTTGCTGGTTGCTGGCTCAGTGGAGGTGGGCTATGGGCTGGGGGTGGCAAAAGGTGCAAAGTTCCCTCTGTGCTGCTGCTCTTGAGAGAGGGAGCGGGAGCCAGGTATCAGAGAGGGATTTGGTTCAGCAAAGGACCGGCTGATGCCTCCTTCCTAGCACAAAGATGACCATGGAAGAACAAGCAAAATCATCAGTCTCTCTGCACAGTTGTGCTCCAGTTCCTAACTCTCCTAAGCCACAAAAATAACCGCTCGGCATTTAAGCTGTAAGTAAGAATGGACATGTATCTTTCATGGATTTTACCACAAGTTTACCCTAAACTGCATATAGGGGATCATGCAATACACTTTAAGGATTAATTTAATCCAAGACAATGACAGCAAAGATTTCTTTTTGTCCCCCCCATGGAAAATGATTACTGTCCTATTAAGCCTTAAATTTTTTATTTCTATCCATAATCTAGGTGCATAGCAAGTAAAGTAGAAACAAAGGGATTATATGTCCCATGAAAATCAGAAACTCCTCCTGCTAGGTCTCACCTGAACATCACTTTCAGAGCAGTATTTTGTCCCAGGCTCTTTAGCAGCACCACCACTTAAAGGTGCTGACCGAAAGCTTTCCATCCTCCAGGGCTATCCTCCGGAGGCCTCTCTTCCTCTGCAAACGCCCAGCACAGCTCCACAAATCCGCCGGCACGGACATACAGAGAGGCGATGCATGACTTATGGGCGGATGACGCCATCCCGCAGCAGCTGAGCTCCGCTGCTTCCCGCAGACCCGGGCAGAGCACAGAATGAGGCAGGGAGGGAGGCCCAGGGAGCTGAAAT